AACGATCTTCGAGTTTTATAAAATGATCTCTCGAGTTTTATAAAACGATCTCTCGAGTTTTATAAAACGATCTTCGAGTTTTATAAAACGATCTCTCGAGTTTTATAAAACGATTCTCGAGATTCATAAAACTGTTGCGTTTACGCGTTTGCGGGGAATTTTGGCTATTGATTCCGTCGTACCGATTTTGACCCCAACAATATCGGTAGAGCCAAAACCATTGGACATGTATGCAACAGTAAACTAGTCGTATAGTTGTTCGGTTACTGTTTCTTGCCTTTTTAAAAATCGAAATTACGGGTCATAATAGTTGTTAGCATTTAACTATTCGTTTACTATGCAAGCGGAAGAAGAAATTTTGGGTTTATTTTTCTGAAAACTACAACTTGTCTTTTTCTCATTCTGTTTTCTTGCACATATATCTGAAGGAAGTCTGACAATATCTAAAGTGAATTGCTTAGCTCCGAAGTTACAAAAGCAAACGTAGTTATTGTAAATATTAGTGATGTTATTCATAAATTACCTTAATGAAAGTGTTGATTTAATCATTTTTTTTTTGCAAAAGCCAATCCTGTTATAAAATGTAAACAACACTATATACTCTTATTCCTGAAAATGCTGCTCTAATACTATTTATCCTAGTCTTCTCGCACTTTGAAGGATGGAGATGGTCTACTTTTATTTTTCTATGTGTTTTTTTTTCTTTTGTTCAAAACTTTTTCTATGTGGTTTGTGTTTGGTTTTAATCGAAAACCTTTTTGTCTTTTCTCATACATAGATTTTTTCTTTGACCGTAATTTCTTCATCTTCGATAGTTGAATCGCCGTCTCCATAATGGATAAGCGTCGGTATGCTCAGGGCCGGTCCTAAGATTTTAGAGATTTGTGACGATTTTTATGTAAATTTTTTTTGAGGATCTAAAAAAAAAATTTGGAAATCTATATTCATCTAATTTTCTTCAAAATTTTTAGAGATTTGAGACGAATATTTCACTAGACATATCTGAGGGCCAGTTCTGGGCATGCTAAACTGTTGTTGCGCTTTCCATGAGCGACAGTCAAGTCTCACGCATTTTAGGATTTAAAAAAAAATAGGTAGTGTGTTTGACAAATTTTAGTTTCTCGTGAATTCACTCTCTTTTTAATTAGTTGTAAAGATTATGATAAAAATAAAAATAAAATGTCAACTTAATTAATGGAAAACTCATACTTTCAAAGTTATAAACTCGTTTTATCAGTGTCTGTGTGAACAAACACTTAAAACGTATGAGAATCTAAATTGCCGCTTAGTGAATCCTATGTTTTAGGATCCCATGACAAGCGCCAGTCTCGCACATTTATGTACCTTTTGGATTTTAAAAGGCTTGTTCAACTTTTTTTTGTTATTTTCTTGTGAACTGATTTTATATTTGATGGTAATGAATAATACAAGTTAACTAACCAAATAGGAGGAATACTAAAACAAATAGACAAAAGAGAATTAACATGAGCTCCATATTATCCTCTGCATGTCTATTGGTTATTTTTGTAAGTATTTTACTATCTCCTTCTAACCAGACCTTAAGCCAACTTTTTTATAAAAAAACTGGCATTAATTGTTGTTGTTTCACTAAACCTTATTACTTACCAATACATGTTACACAACACAACCATACATCTGGAATACATCAACTAAAACCGGAAATAGTTAGTTGGGGTGTACACAATCCATACTTGTAGTTAAATATTATACATTGATTTTGCATGTCAGTACACGTGATCTCCTTCCTTCCTAGCTACATCAAAGTTTGTGTTATCTTTATCTAATTGTTTTTCTTTTACTTTTGTCAGGGTACTGTAGAACAAAATGAATAAACCAATATCGTAGGTAAAATATTTTTTTCTGTAAACTAAGGGAAAATAAAATTCTTAAGATTTAGATATGAGATAATCACACTAGAAAACACATTTTTATAAAAAGTGAATATCTGAATGTACAATTAATACCATTTTAGGAAAGTGTTATATTGTTATTTGATCATTGGGTCTAACTAAAATAGTGAGTATCTGGATGTACAATGAATATCATTTTAGGAAAGTGTTATACTGTTGCTGTTATTTGATCATTGGGTCTAACTATTTGGACGGCAGAAAAACGTAGTTAGTAACAGTAAAACACTAAACCTCATCTACTAAAAGTAAGAAGCAAAGTAATAAATTAAAGTTCTAAAAAAAACTAAATAAATCAAAAAGGGAAAAGGTCAATTTTCTCGGTTTGTCGCTGCCGGGTCCTATGAGTAATATAACTTTTGGGTCATCTTTCTCTCTCGCTAGTCCGACACCATTTGTGTATTTTAAATAGAAATGTTTTTCTACAAAGAAAATTTACAGTTGCCATGTGAATTGACAAGGAGTAAAGTACTGTAAACCTGAATTTATGACATCATGCATCATATCCCTGTTTTCTTTGTCTTCGTGGAAAAAAATTGAGTAAAAATTTGACATTGTTCTTCACAAGTTTTGTAAATTACCTATATTTTTCATTTTTTAGCAAAACAAACCTAAATAATTGTTTGGTTTCTTTCTCCTGTGATCGGTGAAATCAAAGCAGAACTTCCAGGTAGTAAAATCCAGTTTTGCTGTGCCAACCTTACTTTTATGCTTATTAATTCTTTTAGTCTTTTGCAGATAGAAAAATAGACGATCCATTTTGTTGGTCAGGCTTACGTCTAACTTACTATGCAAATTGATCCTTATTTAAAAAATAAATCTTTTGACCTTTAAACGAAAAATCAGTTACATTTTTCTTTTGTTCGTCTCACAGTGAAAAAATGTAGAAACTAAAGTGACACTCGCACTCCCATTAACGTGTTGACTCGTGTGTTCCTACTATATATGCTAAGTGAGCAAATATACAACGACTCTCTTCTTCTAATTGTGTCTTTCACCTAACTTTGCAAAGAAAAGAAATATAAACTCTCTTCCTCCTTCTTTCTTTTCTTGATAAAACAAAAATCCTCCATCTTCTGATTAGGTCTAAACTAAAATGCCATCAAAGAGGGCAAGAAAACCAAACCGAGTTGAGAAAAAACTCAAAAGAACTCATTTCAAGAAACAACTTCCACAACACAAGAACACCGACACAAATACTATTCTTGATCATGCTTCTTCTTCTTCTAGTATCGTCTCTTCGTGTTCTTCTACAACGACGTCGTTCTCTCGTCAAGACACAAAATACTCTGCTCCCTCTCCTTCTCCGACGGTGCTGACGTCGTCACATGGTGAAGGTGGTGGCGGCAGCGGTTGTTTTACCCCTAAAGCTCATAAGTACCGGATACCGGAGATGATGACTTGTCCACCGGCTCCAAAGAAGCAAAGAGTCCCACAGAACTACGTGTTGCCACGGAGGCAGATCGTTTTCTTTGCTCCTCCTGAGATTGAGCTCTTCTTCGTCAAAGCACACGATCAATAAACAAATTTTAATTACTATTTTTAGTCTTTTTTGTTATTAGTGAGGGGATTAATCGATACGGAAAGTAGTATGAGAAGCTGATCAAATTTTAATCTCTTTGATTTGTTGATACAATAACGAAGAGTATATTAAAAATAAAAAATGTTTCTAGTGATTTTTAATTATTATTTTGGGTTTTTTTTTCTTGATCATTTTGTTCTTTTTTGGCGCTTGTTTTTTTTTTGGTGATAATTTGAATGAAGTCGGTTTGAGTTTTGTGGTAGGGTAATATCAAAATCAACTACGATATAAAAACTATAATTGATAGCCAACCCTTTTATTATTTTATACTTTTCTGGCATACTTTTCTTATGTGCTGTGTGTTAGGTTGCTATCCTTTAATTTCTGGGCCTATTAGCTTTGTCGGTTTCTGTAATTTGAGGCGTGGTTTGTCTTCGACGCTAGTTTGTTCATGTATTGCTTGAGCTTTTGGTCATTTTCCTCTTTTGTTTGATCGACAGAAACAGTTGCTTCCTGCACGGAACATTCATACTGTTTGGGTCCCAATAGCATTAAGACAACAACATTAGCACCGAATACTATTGAGACATCTTCATACAAGTTTACACCACTGAGGTTGTGATTCTCAAACTATACATCAGCACCGATTACTATTTTGTATTCATGCATTATGCATATGTGCGCACTAACTACTCTTGGTATTAAAAGACAAAAATTAAAGAAAATAGTTGTTTTCTATGGCTATGTAACATAATGGGCAATGATATCACTAATTAATTTAATCCTATCAAAATGGTTGAGAAGCTCAATTTTTTGTTGTCTAACTTAATGTACCTTTATCTATGTCAAATATATTATCTTTATAAGTTACAAAAAAATACTTTATGTTATATTTTATAGTTTTATTTATCCACTTCATCCCTAATTAAGTTCACCTTTTTTGTTACTTCCTTTACGTCTTCTATTACTTTTTGGCTAAACTTTGGTTGTTAATTAGTTTTTTTTTCTGCTAATTAGTATATAGATATGTTTAAAAGTTTAGTGAAGGCAAAGAGACGAGAAATATGTGAAGAATTAGTGGGGATGGCCATAGTGTAGAGGCAGAGGATAACATCTGTCAAGGGAATCCAATGAAGCGACTAGTGCGGCAATTTATCTTTTCTTTTTTTTTTTTCCATAACTTCTCAGAAAAGTTAGAAACACATCTTTATTTGATCATTCTTCTTCTTTTTTTCCACAGGAATATATTTCAATTATTTGACTATTAATTCGTTCTGCATACATATCCACACAAGGGTCAAAGTAAGCGAAAATGTCCTTGTGATATAACTAGAAATGTACAAAACATAAAAACCAACCAAAAGTCCATCGGTGAAACAGAAAATAAAAAAGCCAAGAAGCCAAAAGAAAACATTTTGAAAAGGGAAGTTAACTCAACTAGTATGAATTTTATTAATTATTATCACAACTATACAAAACTTTTTTTTATTACTACCTTTTTTTTAATACCCAGCGTGCCCTTTTTTCACGTTGTGAGAAAAAACATATTTACAAGAATGCCATTACTTTTTTATGCCACGTAAGCAAAAATTTCGGGTCCACGTAAGAATGCGGCATAAAACTCAGCCGCAATAGGATACGAACTACGTTACGGCCCAGATATAGGTGC